CCACTGTGTTTCTGAATCCATTATTTTTTTTTCTTTAACATCAAAGCCTGTATCCCGATTAAACACAAATTCTCTCCCTAGCATCATCCCATCAACTGATAAACTGTTCTTTCCTTTATTGAGTGCTTTTTCTGCAAATAGGGCTGTACCTATACACTTGAGATTTAGCTAGTACTGCCAAAATCACACTATCCTCTATCAACAGCCCTAGAGAATGTTTATCAGCAGCATATGCCTTTTAATAACCTCTGTTATTTTGTAAATGCCTTTAATAGGGTGTAAGGATTTTTGTTGTTGTTGTTAAGAAAAGGATCCCAAATGCCCATCAATCAATCAGTGGATAAAATATTGCAACATTTTATTTAGTGGATAAAATATTGCAGAATATTATAACATATATATATAGAGAGAAATGCTTTCCAAGATGTAGTGCATTAATAAGATTCTGATATATATCTATCAGATATGTATTTTATTTAATATAAAATACTTTATTGTATTTATAAAATACTTGATATACTTTATATAATATATATACTTTATATAATATATTTTATATTTATACTTTATATTATATAAAGTATATGTACTTTTAATAAATATAATACTTTACATAATATAAAGTATTATATAAATATACTTTATATAATACTTTGATATTACTTTGCACTTCTTTTCTGCATTTGTCTGAAATTCCCTCACTGAAGTTTTTGAAACTACTGACTGTCTCATCCTCTCTAGAACTTCAGTTTAAATAATCAGAAGTACATTTGCTTCCCAGGCTGAACTTCTGTTTACTGTGCAACTTTCAAAGGGAAAAGTGTCCTTTTCTGAATATGTGATTGGATTCCCAGAATTCAAAATGATTTCTCCACTTCTCTGACTTGTGGCTGAGAAAGCCGTCACTCAGACTGTTCTCCTAAGATGTGTGTCTATATTTGAAATAGTTCCAGAAAGCCTCTCCTGCCCACGTAGAGTTGAAAAAACAAGTTAGGCGGTTAGGCTTGCAAGAGAATTTAATGAAAGGTGACAAGTATTACATAATAATATCAGTTGAATATACAAATGAGTCCTCAGGAAAGGGAGTACTGTCCTCACATTAAGCCAAGTAAAGGCCTCAGGTCCACCCACTGCGGGCTTGAATGCTTGTTTCAGCTCAAGCTAGAGCCTATGTATACCCAGTTCTGAAGTTCCTCTGTGTTTTATTTATTTATTTTTTAATTCTTAATTTGTCATTTTTTGTGGGTACATAAGATATATATTTATAGAGTATATGAGATAATTTGATACAGGCAAACAATACATAATAATCACATCAGTCCAAGATAAGTCCTAAGTCTTTGCTTGAACAAGTAAAGGGGGTTTTCCATTAAAGTGTAATTAAAATTTACATATTGCTGGTACTAACCTGGCAGTTAAATTATAATGACAAAGTATGTCAATTATATATGTAAACCCCATTGAATATTGTCTGAACATGATAAGTGCTCAGAAAAATATTTTATTACTATTTTCATCTAGTCATCATTGTTTGGAAGCAAAAATAGCTAATCCTATTTTGCTATGGTGATTTACTGTTTTTCTTCATATCTATGTTTTATGGCATTTTGGCATGACACTATGAATCAGAGGACTATGTCTTAGATAGTATCTTACATAAAACATACTTTGCACCAATATAATAGGAAAGTATAGGTCAAATATGAACAGTCTGAAACTTTCATATTGCACATAGATTATTGTATGCTTTTCTATAATATTGTGTGAATACATTTTAGCCTATATGATGAATAAGATAGGGTCGTCCTAATTAAATTAGAATTTAAGCAATTTCTCAGCATAAGTGTTGTCTACAAAGTTATACATTCTGTAGACCAACTTTACAACACAAATTGGCAGAATCGATTTCCTAAATTACAGAAGCAGACCTAAAGGAAAGCAAGATAAAACCATAGCTTATAAAAATGACTAGAAAAATAAAAAGATTCTGTAAATATATGAAATTACATCATGCATTTAATATTATTAAACAATAAATGTCTATTAAATACTTATTTCTAATTGCAAATGAAAACAAATAGAGGAAATTATAAACACATATTCTGGATAATATGGATATCAAAGAAAAAGTTAAATCATAATAATTTTATGTAGCATTATAATTTGATAAGGTGTAGTTTTGAAATAAATTAAGAAAGTAGAGGAAATGATATACATAAAAAATATCTGAATAAATTAGTTGACAGTTTGAATGAGTGAAAAAGTATCAAAATATTAACCCTTAAAATGAAGGTTACACTCTTTTTTTAACATTAATAAAGCATTTAAAAAATCAAAAACAATTTTATAAAGAAAACAAATTACAAAAGATAAAAAAATATTGCTTGGATAAAAACAATTTAGTAACTGTTACAAAAGTTTAAATTAAAATAGTCAAATACTTGGAAAATGGAAAATAGCTTCTAAAATAATATAAGACCTAACACCATAAAAACCATAGAAGAAAACTTGGGCAATACTATTCAAGAGATAGGCATAGGGAAGGACTTCATGACTAAAACACCAAAAGCAATGGCAACAAAAGTCAAAATAGACAAATGGAATCTGATTAATCTCCAGAGCTTCTACACAGCAAAAGAAACTATCATTAGAGTGAACAGGCAACCAACAGCATGGGAAAAAATTTTGCCATCTACCCATCTGGCAGATGAGTTGATTCTCTGTAGATTATAGAATCTATAAAAAAACTTTAAAAATTTATAAGAAAAAAAACAACCCCATCAAAAAGTGGGCAAAGAATATGAACAGAAACTTCTCAAAAGAAGACATTCATGCAACCAACATACATTTAAAAAAATGTTCATCATCACCGGTCATTAGAGAAATGCAAATCAAAACCACATTGAGATATCATCTCACACTAGTTAGAATGGTGATCATTAAAAAATCAGTAGACAACAGATGCTGGAGAGGATATGGAGAAACAGGAACACTTTTACACTATTGGTGATAGTATAATTAGTTCAACCATCGTGGAAGACAGTGTGGTGATTCCTCAAGGATCTAGAAATAGAAATACCATTTGACCCAACAATCTCATTACTGGGTATATACCCAAAGGATTATAAATTATTCTATTATAAAGATACATGTACATATATGTTTATTGTGGCACTGTTCACAATAGCAAAGACTTGGAACCAACCCAAATGCCCATCAATTATAGACTGGATAAAGAAAATGTGGCACATATACACCACAAATACTATACAGCTATAAAAAAGGATGAGTTCATGTCCTTTGCAGTGACATGGTTGAAGCTGGAAACCATCATTCTCAATAAATTGACACAAGAACAGAAAAACCAAACAGCACATATTCTCAATCATAAGGGTGTGTTGAACAATGAGAACACATGGACACAGGGAGGGAAACATCACACGCCGGGGCCTGTCAGGGTGTGAGGGACTAGGGGAAAGATAACAGGGGGTGGGGGGATTGGGGAGGGATAAAATTAGGAGACATACCTAATGTAGATGATGGGGGGATGGATGCAGCAAACCACCATGGCACGCATATACCTATGTAACAAACCTGCATGTTCTGCACATAAACTCCATAACTTAAAGTATAATAAACAAATTAAAATAAATAAATAAATAGCATAAATAAATAAATAAATAGAATGTGTAAAAGAAAAATTAAAAAATAAAAGACATTTTAACACTGTACCTGACTAAAGTTTATGGGATGTTACAACATCTGAATTCATCCTCAACTCTTTGCTTTACAACTTTTCTGTATTCAGAAATGTAAAATAAATGAATAAAGCATTTAATGAAAGGATTTGTTTTTAAAACTAAAATAAACCTGTAGATATCAGGAGGCAATGATTTTAAAAAACACAGAATTTTAACAAATAAACAGTTTGACACATTACAAAAATCAAGTTTTCAAATGTTTAACATGCAAAAGAGATATCATTGCATGTAGATTGTCATCTTGGTGAGTTTATATTTCTAGTCCTAAACATTGTGAAATGGGTCTTGATTTTGCTTATGTGCCAAGAAAAGATTTATATTAGTGTTATTGATGACAAAGAGATTATCCAGTGTTAAATTCATAAATGGATAGAGAAAGCTGAAAATCAGTACTTAGAAAGTTAAAGAAATTTTGTTTACATATATTATGTATATGCACATATTCAAAGCTATTGACCTAGAAGAACCCGTACAGCACTATTTGTTTTCCTTAAACTGAAAATTTATTAGAAAAATAAATAAACAAAAGAATAGCTATTCCATAAAGAGCCAAAACTCAATATTTTGAGGGTTTCTATTTTCCTTAATTCTTTATAATACTTTCAAACTAGCTTTTCTCCAACATAATATATGCTATTTTTCTATAATATATGCTGTTTTAATTTTATTGAAAAATTTTACTTCCTATATCCCAAATTGTGAACTGCTAACATTGTTTTCCTTTTTAGTTGCTTGTGTGTCTGTCAATTAAATTAACCAAAATTAATGTGTAAGACACAAACAAATATTCTTCAAAAAAGGCATTGGGCAGAAATGCAAGTCTTCTAATGATAATGGGCAGCATTGATTATTGTCACCTTGAATACTTTACAACTACCCTCTGATCAAATTTGGAGTTATTATATATCTCGTTCACTTAAGTAAATAAAGTCTTAAATTTTAGGTAACATATTCTGGGTTATGTAGCTAAAAATGTAGCATACTTAGGATCTAACTCTTGGAAAACTTTATTTCAAAATAGTACTCCTAAAGCCTCTGTTAGAAGTCTTCCCCATATAATAAATGAAATAACTTCGGAAACTGTTGTGATTGTGCCCAAATAGTTCTTTTCCATAATAAATTTACCTCCAACTGAAGTCTGCATAGGAATTTGTGTTATTTAATTTTAAAGGACAACCATATTTTCTTATTTTTTACATCAGTTTCTTTTAAAAACATATATTAGACTGTAAATATGACACACATATTATGATTTCTAATTACGATTTTAATTTCTAAAAACATACACCTTGAAACGTTTATGTTTAGTCAAGCAAAGGGTAGCACAACAGAAATGAAAAAAAATAATAATAAAGGATTCAATTGTTTTGCTAGACAAACCAAGAAAATACCGAATATGAAAGAAAGAAAACATGAGTTAAATGTTCAGCATTCCCGCTATTTTAATTACCTGGAGTCCTCTCTTCTCTGCATGACTCTAATAAAAGCGTTTTTCACTTCTTTGTTTCTAAGACTATAAATGAGTGGATTCAGCATGGGAATCACAATAGTATAAAACACAGAAGCCACTTGATTTCTTCCCAAGGAAGAAGACTTTCTTGGTTTTAAATAAGTAAAAATCATAGTTCCATAAAAGATGGTGACTCCCAAGAGATGAGAGGCACAAGTAGAGAAAGCTTTCTGCTTTTCCGAAGTGGAATTAATTTTCAGGATAGTAGAGAGAATGAACGCATAGGATGCAGATATTGTGATAAGGGATGCCATCAGGGTGAAACCAGCTAAAATGTATATCATGATTTCAATGTCGTATGTGTCCGTGCAGGACAAAGCTAAAACTGGGGACGTGTCACAGAAAAAGTGATGAACTACATTTGATTCACAGAAATGCAGTCTGCTCATGCAAAACACATTGACAAAGGAGTTGATAAAGCCAATCATATAGGGCCCAGTGACGAGAGTGTGGCAGAGCCTATTGGACATAATAACTGGGTAGTGTAGAGGACAGCAGATAGCTACATAGCGATCATAGGCCATTGAGGAGAGAAGAAAACATTCTGCAGCTCCCAAGAAGACAAAAAAGAACATCTGGGTAAAGCAGCCCCTGAAGGAAATATAGTTGGAAGTCAGTAAGTTCGCTAAGGTTTTAGGTGTGATGACAGTTGAGTAACTGAGGTCAATAAATGACAGGTGAGTGAGGAAGAAATACATGGGAGTGTGAAGCCGGAGGTCCAGGCGGATTATCAATATCATCCCCACGTTCCCCAGCACAGTAATTAGATATATCAGGAGAAATACGATAAAGAGAGCCAGCTGGATCTCTTCAGAATCCGTCAGTCCCATTAGGATGAAGTCAGGCACATTCGTGTTATTCCTTCTACTCATCATGCTCAACTGCTTTAAACTGCTGAGAAACCAAAGTTGATACTTAACAGGAACGACTTTAAAAGGTTTCTGTTTATAGGAATGACCTAGCATTTAATAATTAGTTTAGTGTTTTACAAATTGATAATAAATTTACAGAATATGGCTAAAGAAACTAATTTTACTGCCAATATAGTTATAAGTAGAAATTAACATTTGCATATAAGGAAAATGTAACATATTGCATAATTCGAATGAACCTGACATTGTTCTGAATGCCTTTTCTTACTAACATATTTTATCCACATGAAAATATTATACCATAGATACTATTATTATCCACAAATTTTAGATGAGAAAAAAAGCATGTAGGGTAAGGTATCCAAGTCAGATCAATTACATTTTGATGCTGAATCTACCAAGATGTCTTAACTTCAGTGAGAAGGCTTATAATTCTACACTCTTGTTTATAAATAATTTCAGAAAGTTGAGAAAGGAGATAGACATGTAATAAAAAATGAGAGTAAACAGCTTTATTATATTATTTACTGCCCTTTTGCTTCCAATACTATTTAATATTAATTTTCAACAAATTTCACCCTTGGGGATTTTAGTAGACTGCATTAAAATTATAGATGACATGTAAGTATTAATTTATAAAAATGTGACATTTTCCTGACTTAACTAATCAAAATCTAATATCTTCCAAAAATTTTGTTTTTAAAATATGTACTTTGCTCTTAGACTCTGATTCTATCAATTCTACATTTGTTTCACAAGCCCTGGCATTACTTAGGGTAAAGGCTAAATAATGATACTTGTATGTATTAATATATTATTCTGATAAAGTCCCCATTCTATTTCATCTGAAATAAAATATGAAACAAAATCTTCCAATTTTGAGAATAATACTTACTGTGTGTAAGTCAAATTTTATGAAAAAGCTTTCTTCTTATATTATCTGTCTGAAAATTTGTTAATCTAAAATTTTTGTTATAAATAAAATATGAAAACTATTTAAGGAAATGAAATTTTTTATAATACTTGTTTTCCTTGAGATAAGTTGTTTTTACATTTTTGTGCATTCATTATGTTTTAGTCTGAGTTAAGATAAACCAACCTATAAATTTTGTTTAGGTCCTGGTCGAATGGAAAGACTACCAATAAGTTACCTGTTAAAGCATCCTGGCAGCCACTGTGACCATAGGGAGATTATTCTTTCCCTCACTCTGATAATTCCAGAGGACCTCATATATTAGAGGCTGATGATAATGAACCTTTTGGTAATACCTGAGGACCATTTGCCAAGGAAGGTTGCTTGGCATGTTTCCAAGGACAAAAGTTCAAGGACTAAATGCAGCCATGTTAAATATTGTACAAAGGTTTCCCTTTTTACCTTAGAAGCCACGTAAATGAAGAAAATTATGGGTTGGCCTTTTCTTGTGATGATCTCAATTTTTTCTGGGGTGGTGGAGAAGCCATTTCCAGGAAAACAGTTACTCTATGACTGACATCATCAAAGATGGAATAATACAGTTTTTATAATTAAAATTTTGTATATTTAAAAGTATGATACTACCATAGAAATAAAGCATGTTAATTAGAAAAAAATCAGAATATAACAAAATCCAAAAAAGAGAATAAAGTCAAAACTGTTGTTAACATTTTGTCAACATTAAAATGTTTTCTATTTTTTTCCTTTGTGTACTCAATGTTTATTTGTACATAAACGTATAGGTTGTATAATAATTATACTATATATTCAGTGTATTTTCACCATTTAATAACCAAAATTTTATGCCATACCATGAACTATGTTAAACTTTTATAAACCCCACAATTCTATGGTTCATCTATTGGCTGATGCCTCATAACCTACTAAGTTAACTAAGTGTTCACCAGCTTAGACATTTTGAAGCATTGCCAAAAAGAAATAGTGCAGATTATTCATTGTAATTTGCCAATGTTGACTAATTCATCTACATGCAATATTTGTGCAATTTTTTTTTTGCTATTCTCATGTACTTTAAAAAATTTTATGAAATAAAAGTGAGAGCAGAAAGACAAAATCAGCCCTGAGACCAATAAATGTTTTATAATTAATTTAGTTGCTCAAAACTTATTTCTTCCATATATAATCAGGTCATTTTTTTGTTAAATATAAATTAAAATTAAAATATAGAAATATAGCTGAAAGATTGTACTGAGTACTATTTGCCCAATTTGAGGAAGCAAAGGAAGAGTCTGCAACAAAACACAATGTGAATCAGAGTAAAATATTAATATGAATTTTGTGCTGTCATTAAAATGAAATCAATTTTCATGTAAATATAAACGTGAGTCTAGAAGGAAGCATGCTAATAATTTAGAATTCATTTAAAAATTTTTAGTAAAAATTAGTTTTATGTTATAAATTTTGATTGATTTATTGATTGATGCTTATCTATTTATTTATTTTTAGAGATGGAGTGTCACTCTGTTGCCCAGGCTGGAGTGCAGTGGCATGGTCTTGGCTCACTGCAGCCTCTGCCTCCTGGGTTCAAGTGATTCTCCTCCCTCAGCCTCCCTAGTAACTAGGACTACAGGTGTGTGCCACCACATCTGGCTAAGTTTTATATCTTTTTGGTAGAGACGGGGTTTCACAATGTTAGCCAGGCTGGTCTCAAACTCCTGACTTCAAGTAATCTGCCTACCTTGGCCTCCCAAGTGCTGAGATTGCAGGTGTGAGCCACCGCACCTGGTGTTTATTTTTAAATTGCATTGCACTGGGGTCATGACTGCTTTAAGCTTTGTGAATTTAGGAATTACTTTTATTTAACTAGTATAAATTTCTCATGGATTCTGGGAAAGATTCAAATGTCGGTATGTAAGTCTGTTTTTTTCTGTTACAGTATTCATAGATTATAAATTATCAACAGGTGGAAACAGAAATAAATACAAGAATCAGTGATACAACATATTAGAAGTTCAAATGCACTGTAAATAAAACAAAGGAAATGTTAGACGGCATAGGACATGGAAGTGGTGGATCATTCAGAAGCAGGGACATGAGGAAGCAACCAAAAGGGAGGTCAAAGTAGATCTCAATAAAAAGTGACAGTTGAGCCAAGACTTGACAAAGGTACCTAGTCATGTAGGTATATTGTAGGAAAGTGTTCCACACCAGGGCAGGGGGCATGTCAGAGTGAAGGCCTGTGCAGAGGATGTCCAGAAAGTTGCAAGAATGACAAGGATGACTATGCGGTAAGAGCATTGTGAAGAAAAACAAAGTACAGACAGTGCATGGAGACTTTTGAGCTTTCTCTCTGAAAAAATAATTTTTAAGGAAGTCTTCAGTGAGAGGACCATACTGAAATAAGTAAAATAGAGAGCCATAAAAATACTAGGAGAAAATGAGATTCAGAGAAATGAAAGAGTGAAAACAATGTTCTATAAAATTAGTCACTTTGTCTGCTGTCTTACATCACTTTATTTTAGTAAAAAGTATGTAAGCAAAATAATATACCAGATTTTGTATTTTGATTCACTCTGATAATCTTTGTTTTTTTAGATGCATTTATTACCATGAATAAATATAAAATTAGTCATACAGTTACCTATTATATTTTTATTTTATAATATTAATATTTCTATACATTCTTTCCTAAAATGCAGTTTTTTGTATATGTTCTTTAGCTATTATTTTAGATAGCTTTTCTACCCATCCTGCTCATCCCCTATTTTAAAAAACAACTGTGCAAGATCCTAGCCATGCTACATTAGTTACTTCAAGTAACAGATAAACTTCAAATTCCTTTTTAATGGGCTTTTAATATATAGCTATGAGAGAGTCAGAATCCCTATGATATCAAAAATCAATTTTATTGAATTTATTTTATTTTCACTAATTTGTTTCTTCAGAATTTGTTGACATATTTTTGAAATAAATCAAGTTTATAAAATAATATTTTTATAACTTTTGATGCAAAAAGTTGTCTAATAGTTGGTGAAATAGAACAGAAACTCAAGGAATACAAATGGTTAACAGAAACATTACAAAGGCACCACTTATTAAACAGACAGAACCAAAACTAAGTATCTTTATCTGAAGCCTGATACAGTGAACATATTTTAAATTGAGTGTCTTTGCTCAGCACATTAAAAAAGGAAGAAGATATCTGGACTATTTCACACAGTAGGTTACTGCCAGAGACTTAGTTTCGAAGACTACAATTAATCATCTGATGTGGGAACCATCAAGAGTGCTGGGAGAGTGAGGTAGAAGGAATGACTGGAGAAAAAGCAAGGCTTATCCTGAAAAGACCTGTGTTACAGGATCTAGAGGGAAGGTGCACGCAGAGCAACTAGAAGAGAGAATGATGGGAGATAAAGTAGGCTATGGTTTTGTTCCTAGAAACACTAGCAATAGAACATTAATAACGTAAAAAGAGAAATTTGGCATATAATTTTATTAATACTAAGTAAATAAGAATATGCAATCATCTACAGAAAATATGTATTCAATACAATGTAAAAATACCTACATTAGAATCAGGAAAAATGTAATATAATAGAAAAGTTATGATGTTTTGTTCACTTATAAAAATGATCATTTAGTTTAGAATGTATCAATGTGTAGTGCTAAAGTGAATTTCTTTTCCTCTCTGAAGTTTCAAGTCTGCTGAAATGAACTGACAGTAGATAAGCAGGAGAAAATGTATGCAAATTTATTAGTCTGCATAAGCACAGGAGCCATTCAAAATATGAGATTCAAAGAACTGTCAGGTGCTTGAGGCATAAATACACTTTTCATGGGGGAGAAATGAATGAGCCCAAAGCATAGACAGTGTGTTTGTAAATGATTCTAGTAGTAAACTGAATGTAACCAGCCATTTAAGGGTAGGGACAGAACTACATTGTGAACAAAGGCCATCTATTATGCAGATAAAAATCTCTTATCATCTCTTGGAGCTGCAAATTATGGTGGCAAATTTTAGTCTCTTCTCTTCTTCAGTGGTTAATCTTTCCTAGTTAATGAGATACCTAGAGAAGGAGTTTAAAACAATTGCATTTCTTTTCAGAAGATATTTCCTTCTTCTGAAAAGACAGATAAGAAAATTCCAGATTTTGTCCCTTTCTGTGCTTGGTGGGAGGGAAAGGGAGAAGGCGGGCAACTCTTTGGCTCTGAGGCAGCTTCTAAGGTTTTGTAAACTCTTATTTCAAAACGATCAGTATGCCAAAGCATCATTCTTTGCAATATCATTTTTGGTGACCCAAGGATGTACACACTCAGATCCATTCACATGAACTATCCTTAGAGACTCCCAAGACTAAAGATTGACATTCTCTTTACAGAAGGATGGTTTGTGATATATGGAGAACTGAGAATTCCTAATCATTGTGTTCTATTATTTAAATTTATATGTACAACCCATAACTTTATGTATACTTAGTTCCATATTCTAGCCATTCAGAAAGTCATTTTGGGAGAAATACAAATTAGTATGCCATATTTAATATATAAATAAGAAATGTTTGAGAAAGAATTCTAGAAATAGAATTTCTAACTATACTAATATTATTTGAATGAGATTATATACAAAACTGTCCAAACAACAAAGAAATATACAGATTTGAGTAAGACAGACTTCTGGGCCTTAATGAATTCATCACTGTGCTTCCACACACAAAGAAACACCAAAGAAAATATTTACTTAAATATTTCATATTGATACATTTGCTAGTTGTTATGAAGTACACAAATATAAATAGGCAAATTGGTCTTGTAAAGACTTTACAGTCTTGCTGGAGAGAAATAGTATAAGCACATACATTTATTTTTAAAGGAGCCTCATCAACTTAATCTTCAATTCCTTTCAACATCCATTTTAAATATCATAGCCCATCTCCTATCATTATTCGTTGATTCATAGGCATTTAACTCAGTACTGATAAAACTTTTTCAATGATTATCTTCTAACAACACCTGGGAGCGTTTATAAAATCAGATTTAAGACTCTTTTCAAGAAAAGCGCCACCCCTCCAACCCTGCACACACAAACAATACACACATTTTCTTCCTTTAATACTGAAGAATTAATAAAGGTATTCCATTCTATTTGAAGATGCAAGAATCTCTGTATACACCCAAAGTATTCTAGAAATTATGCTACCACTAATGAGACATTATACAGTTAATGAGAAATCAAACTTTTTATTTGAAAATATACACCATAAA